TTTTTCCTCCAGCAACTATTTATAGGTTCCTATTTCTGTAAACAGACAGGATACATGATGATGATTTTTTGCTGCTTTCTGCAGGACTAACAGCTGAAAATGGATACAAGTGGAAAAAAGTGCAATTCCCTGCCCCTCCCAGCCCTCCATCACATGGAACTGGTGCAGTTATGAGTCACTGTTCATTTATTTTCCCTGCAATACTTCCAGACCCAAGTTTTCATTCTGCTGCTTCTCCTGGACATGAAGAGATCCATAATATGTATAGAAGAAACTGAGTGCTAAAAAATTCAGGTTTCCAATTGATCTTTTTCCAGGTGTCTCACCCTTTTCTTCCCTTTCTCTAACTACCACTTGAAGCTATTTTTGCTAAGAACTTTAACACCAACTAAGTGAGAAATTGTGGGTTTTGGCACCCTGCACTTGCTGCCTTCTGTCCTTCTCTCCCACCTGACTGCAAAGGAGTGCAATGGTAAAAGTGTTTGCTCCTATGATTTCCTCCTAACTTTTATTTTTCCCTCGAATATTATTCTTTGCAATAAGCCTGTTTGAATCACACACATAAAAAAACCTCATGAAATGTCCCTGAAGTTTGCATGATCTCATATACAGCAAACAGAGATCTTCATTGGGTGTTCCACACATCAAAAATTGATGTCTCTAAAGCTCATGACCCACTGAAAATTACTTTCCTGAACAGCTGGAACGCGTTCCTCTGGTGGAATTTCATGTTTTGCACCTTGGCAACTGCTGACACTACTCATGCACAGGTGTCCTACCATGAAATAGTCTGGAAATGCTTCAACACACATCCTGCAGTAACTGGGGCACAGCAGAGGGAGCAGTGCCTGCACAGAGGAGTTATTCATGATCCTGCTTTTCATAAACAGCTGGACAGATGCAGTTTAGGGAGTCATCAAGTATCTGTGGTAATGTGGCACAGCCTTTAAGCAATGAATAATTTCTACAAGGCAATGTGTATCTATTATTTGTTCTTGGCCTAGTAAAAAATAATGAGCTTTGACTTTGGCATGAACAGTAGAGGGTGAGACACTCACAGACTATCCTAGCACTGGTGTATGAAATGTGGAGCCTAAACACAACTATAAATGTCAAATTCCAGGAAGCTCTTTCTGTTAATGCTATTAAGATTGATCTATGTGAAGTACCAATACACCAAGGACAAAACAAGTCAGTATACAGATTCATCTTCTGCTCACCTCCCAGTCCCAAGCTCATTACAAGTTCTCAGGCACTGCTGGTGTGGCCATGAGCAAAGAATCTCAGAGCTCACTGCAAACAGCATTTTCACCTGGGACACAACTGCTGCTGAGAGCAGAGACCACTGTGGAGCTGCACTAACAGAGCACTCACACAGGACAGAGTTACCATCACGCAGTTTCCGGCACTTAGTCCACACCTTTCTCCTATTAATTACACTGTTATTTTGAGATATCATTGAATGGTTGGAAGGGACCTTAGAGCTCATCTTGCTCCTGCCATGGGCAGGGACACCCTCCCCTAGCCCAGGCTGCTCCAAGCCCCATCCAACCTGGCCTGGAACACTCCCAGGGATGGAGCAGCCACAGCTTCTCTGGGCAACCTGTGCCAGTGCCTCAGCACCTCAGAGGGAGGAATTTCTTCCCAAGATCCCATCAAACCCTCCTCTCTGTCAGTGTGATGCCATTCCCTGTGTCCTGTCCCTACATGCTCTTGTACTACACACAGGAGTCACACCCTCATTACATGGAGCTCTTTTCAGCTCCCTGTAAGGCTGTGACAGCACAGGTTCCCTGCACAAAAAAAAAAAAAAGGTATTCCTCAACACTGCAGCCAAGGCAGTGAATTCTACAGTGCCACTGCAGCTGGGAGTGGGGAAGAGGTTCAGAGAACAAACCACTAACCTGAACACAATAATTAGCAGGAAAACAACGACCAGCAGTGCTCTCCTCGTAGGCTACTTAGAAAATATGCCCCAACCAGCCCCAGTGAAACAGCAGGACACAAGCACTGTTAGCTCACTTGGAACACTAACAACTTGTTGTCACTTGTATCCTAAGCTGTGAACATAAAAATGTGGAAACATTTCCTTATCTCGAGGGGTTATTAATGCAAGTTAAGATTCCTTAAATGAGGCAATACAGATGTCAATACCTCACTGCACTGAGCTGCTGACAGGTGATGTCAGGAGCTGTGACTAACAACTTATGTAAACAGCACTGGAGCAACTTCATTTCTCTTCCGTGATCCACACTGAATTACACATCTTAACATCAATGTGAAGTTCAAGGTTCAGCTACTATATTTATATATTAATACATTTAAATCTTTCTACTGGCACTAAGATGTTCACACTCCCAGTTTCCTAACACAAAGGAGTATGTGGCCAAAGTGTATCAGCATCTGACAAGTTTTCATTAACAGCAGGAGCACAGAGACCCTGAATAGAAGGCTGAGACAGTATCTATAAGGTGTATACCTTTCTATATACATGTATATATTACATTACAATATGTAATATTACATTATATTAAATGTATATATTATATTAGTTATATTACATTAAATGTATATATTACATTACAGTTATATTACATTACAATATATTAGATATACATAATTATAATTAATATGAATGTATTAAAAAATAATGTATGAGAGAGTAAAAATGCAGCTACCAGAGCACCTCCCCTACACTGTCAGAGTATGAGGCACTAACTTCCTTTCAGGGCCATCAGTACATGACCAAGCAAACATATACAAGTAGAAATGGGGAAGTTGCTGTACAACTTTGGTTTTAAGAGAAGAGGAAGAGTCTCACTTCTGCCTGAGGTAGAGCAACAGCCTAAGCCTGTTTTTCTATGGCTAGAAAAATAAAGAAAATAAGGCAAAAAGACCTGTAGAATGCACTGGTTTGGGCTGGGGTAGGGTTAATTTTTTCCTAGCAGTTAGTATGATGCTATGTTGGTAACAGAGGGTGTTTTGTCACTGCTGAGCAGAGCTCACACAGCACCAGGGCCTGCTCTGCTCCTGCCCCACCCAGCAGGGCTGAGCTGACATGCTACAGCCAGAGCTAATAACGCAGGGTGAGTAAGGCCTGACCTAGGGATGGTCACACACACCCGGTCTGACAGCTTCAGGGCAGGCTATGCCTTTCTGCCCAGTCCTCCCTGCTCCTCCTGCCTTCCCTTTGCTCCCAGGTCTCTGCACACCCCCGTGGCCATGGGGCCTGTCTATCAACTGCTGACAGACCTCGGGCCTGACTTCTGCTGGAAGATTAGAGCAGTTTAAACCCAGCTAATTACACACAGGCACTCAGGCAGGACTCCAGGCTCTGGCTGCAGCCCCTGCTCTTCTACAGAACTCCTTTACATCCTGTCATGTGTTAACAAAATACCTCCAAGTGCTTAATCCCTCAGTTTCTTCCTCCTCTTTCAACTGGAAGCAATACAGACACTACCCTAGAGTGGGGAGACAAACTGGTTTTGAGCCAGCACAGATGTTTTCATGCAGTTTACTGTCAATACAGAAATGCAGTGAGTCAGGCTGGAAGGGACCACAGTGGGTCAGCTGGTCCAACCTCCCTGCTCAAGCAGGGTCAGCCTAGAGTAAGGAGATGTGTCCAGACAGTTCTTGACTATCTCCTGTGAGACTCCACAACCTCTTCGTGTAATCTGTTCCAGTGCTTGGTCATGCCCTTTCTCCCTCCATGTTCAGTTCTTCCTTTACAGCACCAAAAGGAATT